TTCAGACAAAAAGACGATATAATTAAAATCATTTTCATTGTTTATGCAATTTCCAGGAACTAGAGGTGCTTGGCGCGCCCGTGACATTCCAGCATCGCAGCGCGCAGAAGAAAGCATCGACGATAAAGATAATCTTTGCTCTTTTACAATTGTCTTAATCCTGTCAAATCAGACATCGGCCGACGTAAACATCACGATAACTTGAACTGTTCAAAATCCTCACAGGGGCCACTCATCCATTTTCAAACCTGGCTTTCCCAGTTGGAAACAATATTTAGCTATTAACTTTGACATGTTTGTTCCGATCTGGCTAAATATTTACTGTCGACACTAAAAGCATTTGAGAGCAACGCATATAAAATCGATTGAACCGTTCGGAGATTGAATTAGCGGTCATTAATTTGAAATTCGGCATTGTCTCTGTGCCTAGTTTTTCCTCGTGATTGTGCGAAAACTAAACTCGGAAATCATCGCATGTGATTTGCTTCTGTCGATCTTTTCCCAGTGACAGCTGACAATAATAACATCAGGTCCATTGTAACAGGAAGGGTTGTCATCATTTTATATACACATGGTAAACGAAAGTCGACACTCCTGAAGGGTCCGATTACAGCCGTCATTCCATCTTTAGTTGTATTCCGAGACGACGCCTTCCCTTCATAGTTACTAGAATTTAAACCAGTAACGCTGGGAGCTCCGAGATCTCGTATATTCATTACAGTTAAGACGTGGAGGAGATTGTCCACGCGTTGCCCGAGAAGAACCACAGATGTGTCGATTTTGTGTCGTCCTGATGGCCGCCATGGCGTTTCTTTGCGGTCAAGCAAGTGAGTATTCTTTAATTTTGGAGACTGTGACTTTTGCAGTGTTCTGCTTATGCAATTCGAAAGTGAAATGAATCCTTCACTGAAAAGGTCTCTCGTGATAATTGTGCGAGCGCTTTAGAGTTGTTTTCAAGGGATAGACGGTGTGTATTTTCTGCTATGTGATGAGGATTTAGCAAAGGGCGGGAGATTTTGGATTAATATGTTTGCACGTAGATTCCTTTGATGGTGATTCGTCAAACGACCTTGTCTAGTTGTTTTCGCCGTTCATATTCCAGCAAGAGTAGAGAGTGTATATTTTGGCCGAACTGCAGTGGTTTTGCGACCGTTACGGCAGACTTAAACTTCGTGAACGCCCAAAGAGTTTCACCTTAAGGGGTTAGCATAACGCGGCGCTCATACACTTCCTTGAGCTTTGTTGTTCGATCTGCGATCGTCTGTTTTTCTTTTTTTCTTTCGAACGTTTAAGATTCTTCTTAATTCCTCTCTTGAGATGAGAAACTCCTTTACCTAAACGGAAAATCTCATCGAGTATATAGCATTTTACAAACTGACGCCGTTATAAGCGCAGCGAAGTGCGTTTTATCGCAAACGTTGTAAAGAAGTGTTATGTTACACCGCGGAACGCGTGCGAGAGAATAGGGTTGTTCCATTCTTGTTTCAGTTTTGTAAACCGCACGTAAGATATGAAGACTCAGTTAGAGTTGAAATTCGTCTTGCTTATTCTGTTTTCAACTAAAAGCATTGTTTGCTGTAGGCTTGCATGTCATCACAGTCGACGGATATTTTGTCATGCTACAAATATTTCACACCATACAGCAACATTTCTTTGTTAGATCTTGTGTGTTTAGAAGAAAAAAATATAAATTCAGACTAGCGTTTGCTTTTCGTTAGAAATTGTTTTTGCTTTAACAAGGCTTTAATTGAGATTCTGAAGGCTAGAAGTGGCTCTTTTTTGTGCATTTCCCCTTCGTAGGCTGGAAAACATGTCTTGACTCGATCGCTCTCCGGAGGTAAAGTCCGTAGATGCGCAGTGGAAGTTATTTCACCTTTGAGCCGAGCTCTTTTAGGCGAAAATATCATGCTTTTACTGTATTCAGTGTAAATGGGAGTCTTGCGTTTTACTTCAGTGGAAACACTCCAAACCAATGCAGTATTTCCAATCAACTCCTCATTGAACGCTAGCGTAATTATGTCTGTGATAGTATTCCTTTGAAAGTCAAAACAAGAAGTTTACATTTTTCAAAAGGCTTCCCATTTTAAGAAAGTTCTCTTCGTGTTTTTCTGTTTGCGCTCCATTTAAAATAAAGCATCCCGATTAAATATTTGCACTGAAGGCTTTTAGCTTGGGGCAAACGTGACCAGAGAAAATGCGGTTGTTTTTGTTTCCGCAGTAGCTATTGTTAGGTCTTGCATCACATAATTGGAATACCATTTCGCTGGAGTTAGAGAATTTCATTTTGTACTTGTAGAAGAAACAGCGTTATAAATTAACAGTAATTCTCATGTGAGGAGCGTTTCTGCAGCCGAAAAAAACAGTTCCTAATTTTTTTCAAATTTTGCCTTTATAAAACATTCACAACAGATAAGCTGTGTTGATCGGCTGTGCTCTTGTAATAAGGATGATGCTTCGAATTATTAAGCCAAAGCACGTCATTGTAAAGTGACACGGGAATACCTCAGCGTTGTAGTTGTGCGAATCCGCACGGCTGAACTGTTAAACAATCATTACTTCGAATTCCTTATCGTAAACGCTGACATATTTATCCCGTCGTAAAGGATTACTCTTAGTTCGCTGTATTTTACTTCTGTGCAGATCAAAAAGGCAGCATTCGCAAACGTTTTGTAATGTAAATTTTTGCGACAGACGCATGTTTTAGGAAGATATATTCTGATGGCTTCCAGAGAGACCTGAAATCTACGAGTTTGTCGATTTCGTCCTAATGCAGCCACACTTGGAATGTCATCAGCACTATTGTATCATCAAATTGAAACATGAATTTAAGAATTTTAAAAATGAGTTCATGGTTTTCTTCATTCAAGAGGAATGTTTTACATTGTTTACGTTTTCATGGGATCCTATAGTAGCTTTTAAACTTTTCTTTTGGGCCCTCTTTTTCCAAGAAGTTTTACATCCATGTTTGACGGCGGCATTTCCAATTCCTAAAATTGAGATAACAGTTGTTCCGTTTTTCTGTAACATAAAACGCGTTCACCTGCCCTTAACCCTTGATAACTTTACGTGTTTTTTTTGTTTTTGTTTTTGTTTTTTTTCGAGCAAGAAGGATATAAAATAAATTTATCAATATTATATTTTGTTGCAAAAATGGTGTCCCATCCCAGGTAAAATCTCTCCAGTATGATTCCTTTCTGTCTTGGAGCTCCCAAATTTAAACCAAGTACCCCAGCTGCTATATTGTAGTAAATACTGTGTGTTACAAACATTTTGCAGGGATTCCTGTTATGATCCACAATATTTTCCTGTTGAAAGGTTTTTTGGACAAAGAGTTTTCCTTTTAAAAGTTTGCTATCTAGCAAATACCATCCAAAGTGAGGTGGCCTTTACCAACCATGGACAAAGAAATAACTTGTTGACTTTATTTTCCTAAACGAACCCCTAATCGCAAGCTATAACTCAGATATATGAAGGTTTATGTAATGACTTGGCGATGACCTATCGGTTTTGTATGCTGCTGTTGTTGACTTACTTAATTGCTGCTTTATAGTAAAAGGGGAGAATTATTGACAATAGCAGAACAGAATAGGAAAGTGTACATAGGGTTTACACATTATGTTTTCAATCAAGTTGTGGAAGCTGAAAGTGTTGTCTCTAGCTCAGAAGAAACTTGTCAAAAGAATATTTAGCTTGTCGGTCAAGATCAAAGTTTCAAGTTGGAACTGGTGTTTCAAAAGGTGATTTAAAATAAATTTGATGAAGCCTCTAGTAGCACCCACTATTGGTAGAAAAGGTCAAGTCTTTATTTTGCCAGGTTTCTTATACCGCTAAAGCTTATCCTGGTTTGTGTACTGTTAAGTGACCTGGAGCATTTCTTTTCTCCCTGGATATGATGCAAGCCTACCACAGGGCCACTCTCGAGCACTTAGAGAGAGGCACTGTGTTATGCCCAAGAACTCAACGCAGTAGCCTTAGTAATGATGTGTCACAGTATACAATCCATGCAAGTGACTGAAGTTGCCTTTAGTGGCTCTCTGAGGATATCGCTGTACACCAGCCAATTCTCATGCTTAGGGCTCGAGACTCATGCTGTCAGGTCAAAAACTTTGATCTCATGCCTACTCATATTTACAGACCAAAATCTTTGAAAGATTTTAGCCTTTACAGCTGTAACTTACAAACTTTCAAAAATATGTAAATGTGAACTCATGGAAGAAAAGAAAAGTCTATGTAAATGATGGTACACTTTCCCCAATTGTCCAATTTTCTGCATAACTGGATGTTCATTCCAAACACCATCACGAAAAATTTCTGGATGTCTTTGAATGTGATAGAGTCTTCTTCCAAAATCAAAGCCTTACCAGGATAAAAATCTGACACCTGATATTCAGAAAAAAATGGCAGGTTTATGGTTTATTGCTGTCATAATTGAAACAATGAAAATGTGGATGACTGAAAGCATGTAAAATATATATCTAGGGCTGCTAATAAGGGCTGTAACCCCTTAACACCTGTCACAGCTGAGTATGGTATGGTTGATGGGCCACTTAGCACCTTTAGAGCAGTTTCTTTAGTCCTAGAGTTTCGGAGGATCAAATCTCATCAAGATAGAGGGCTTCTGTGGGGGGGGGGGGGGGGG